TTACTTTTAAGACTTAGAAAATCTGTTGAAAAAAGTGCTGGAACTCTGTTCCGGTGTGTTCTATGACAAAAAAAGCACTAGTGGGCTCTATTAGATGGGCATTTAAAAATGTTCATTGGCTCAGAAAACAAATCATACCTTTTTGCATACAATAAACTCTGAGTTGGAAAAACCAAAAGTGCCTTCTTTACTGTTACATGAATGGATACACCACTTCCAAATAACAGAGTAAAAAATCTGGTTTCTTCATGGTTTCCTATGGATTGGAATCACTTATCCACCAAGGAGATTCAGAATGAATGAGGAAGTCTTTTTCTAACAGAATTCCCTGCTATCCTATAATTTTTGCATCTGTAAGGCATGGGCATGCTGAGAATAGCAAGCTATATTTTTCTTTCTAAACATCCATAACATTGGTAACCTGGATGTCACTCGTGGTTATGAAGTCACACATAGGTTAAGAACACTAAAAGATGGGTGCACGCTTGCCTCTCACATCATAATTGGGCACAGTAGCCACTGCACAACTTGTTTCATGACTCAAGCTCTATATGGAACAGATACTGTTTTGCTTTTTGCTTTTTCAAAATAAAAATTGGAAAACCAAGAAAGCTAATAGTGCAAACAGGCACCAGATGGCATGGTTAGAATCCTTGAAAAAACCTGGTGGACCAGGCAGTATGGCAGTCCTATACATTGGGCATACTTCTGAAGATACATGTGCAGTTAACATATTGTAGAAGACTCAGTTTGCTATTTGTCTTTTTTTAGCAGATGTATAGATTTGAGCTACCAGAAGAGAATATCAAGCACATACTCAGATACATTGAGAGAAAGTGATTTCTCTATAATTTTATTTTTAGACTGTCCCAATTAAAGCATCACTGTGTTCATGTTGTTTGTATAATTAATATGAATAAACACTATGCTTACTCTTAATCTCTAATTATGATAAACTACACATTTTCATTTAAGTCAAGCCTCTGCTTGTGCTAAAGCTGTCTAAATACCTCCTGAGTTTTGAAGATAACTTTGGAAATTGAGGGAATTAGCAGATAGGGTCCCACTGAGAGAAGTGTTCATAGGGAAGGGAATAAAAGATAGATAGGTGACTCCAAAGTACTTGATAATAAAAGCTGGAAGGAAGAAAAACTACTGCAATTGAAAATAAGTGAGAATGTCATGTGAAAAATGTGTGCAAATATTAAAACAAAAACTAAAGAACTAGATATAGGACAGATTCGGTTCTGACTACCCATGTCTGGTAGCAGGAGGTTCCTCCACAATAAGGCATTTCTTTCATTCCTTCATGTCCTGATATTCCCACTGGAAGAAATCAGCTAAATTATGTATGTACACATACACATAACATGGATGAATACAATTTCCTTTTAGTTCCAGTAGCCTTGCACATCTTCTGAACTTCCTCAGTCACTAACAGTATGGAAGACGATTATAGTTAAAGAGAATCAATGGAAACCCAACTTTTATATTTGCATATAAAGTCAATGGGCAGAGCCAACAGAGAGGCATGGAGTATTCCAGAGATTCACTAGCTATTAGTCATGATGGCTATATATTACCTCCAGTATTGGAGGGATCATGATATATTGAAGTAGCATAACATATCTCCAGTATATTGCCTCTGGTATTGGAGAATGCTGGGTTCCACAAGTGGGATGGCACAGTTGCATTTGTGTCTTGCTTCTGGGCTTCCTGTGCACATCTGGCTGGCACCTGTCTAACAGAATGCTAGCCTAGATAGGCCTGTAGTCTGATCCAGCACAGCTCTTTATGCTAATAATGCTGGAATTTATATAAAACAAAATTTGCATTCCTTTATAAGAATAACGTATATCTCAGTTTTCTCCACTACAACATGTGCAGATATATGCCCCAGAAAGAATAAATCCAAATTGAACAAATAGATTTAATTAAATAATGCAAATTATTATTAAGGAATGCCTGTGATTACCCAGTGAATGCAATAAACATCTTTTATGAATATATTTTTTACCTTTGGGAGAATCCTCCACATCACTCTTATTTCTACCTCCCTGTGTGTGGCAAGATAGATCAAACAGAAACTAGCAAGCTCAAATAATTCCATTTCCTACTTCTAAACCCATAATATTGATATTATGAAGCCGTGGCTATCAATCTGGAATTGATTCCCCACCACCACCACCTTTATTCCTCCCAATTCAGCTTGTACCCCCACCCACTTAGTCTTTATAATATTTTCCAGGTATAACAAAAAAATCGATGAAAACCTCGCTTCCCCATGCAATGTCACATGACCAACAGGGATGTGATAACATAAGATACATAGTCCTAGTTCTGCCTAATCCTCTAGAAATGTCCTTGGCATAGTTTGAAAAGAAAATACCTTCATCATGTTGTGCTTCTTCCTCTTAAAATGATCTCACAAAGGGGCGGGGGGAACCATCATAAATTCCCTTACCCAACCATAGTGGCTATTAACTCTCGATTGGAAGAATATATTAAATGCTAGAGACAATTTTTGTGCAAAATGAAGATAAGGAAATATATGCCCTCTATTAAATGGCATAACCCTTTCTTCCATTTTCAAACTGCATAGTTAAAAGAGAAGGAAGAGTTCTGTCCCATTTGGTGTGACATCATAAATCTATACATCTAATCTCATTGATCAAAAGTAAGAACAGGAAACTGTCAAAAATTATCTTTATAATCAAACTATACTGAAGAAGCACTTGATCTCAAAGACTTCTAAACACTGGAAGTTTTTTAAATCTTGGAACATTCAGCATTATCTTATTTCAGAAGACTTAAGGTACTAAGGAACTCTGACTCACTCTCTCTGTGCATGTGCATGTGTGCGTGCACATATCTGCAATCATCTTCCATGGTTCTAAGTCTATATTTGCAGAAATTTAATCAGGAAAAATCCCCAGTACCCATTACAATAAAATATCAGCAAGGCCAACTTTTGACTAGATAATATGAAAGATGTGCAGACAGAGAGCACCAAATAATCATACTTAAATATCACTATATAATCTTGATAATGAAGCATATCTCTGATTCATATTTAGCTAGATAATAAAATCGATAGTGTGTGAGCAGCTGACAAGTAACAAACCAGGGTGGGTGGCAGGTGGGAAAAGCTCATAAGCATCCTTCTATTTACATTTCTAAAGCAGCTACAACACAATGGCATGAATAGGTGGACCTATACATGCTTTCACAAGGCAAGACTTCTGATTAATTTTGTTTTTGTGCAGCTGGATTTTTGCTGCTGTGTGTAGAGCATCCCAGTGTCAGTGGTACTGAACAGGGATAACCCTAACTATATAAATGTGCTGAAAAGCAGCAGTTTAAAGAAGTGAATGGCCACTATTCATTTATACAAAAGACACTGAAGGGGCACATTATGGCAGCAAAATTTGTTCTGTGTCACTGGTCACCCCGGCCAGTGAATTTCATATGCTGGCCCTCCAGCAATTTGGTTTGGTATAATCCCTTCCTGGCTTCTGTTTCTGTTTCAAATGGAGTGTGAGGAAGTTGGAAACTGGTACCTGCATTTTGTATATTAATTTCACTTCCATGCCAGTTGTTGCTGTTTAAGATCTTTTTTTTTTTCTTTTATTCCATTTTAAATTATTTGGTCTGCTCTCAAAGGCTATGTGTTGTACACTAATTTATGAGTTTCTTTATTTGAAAGGAAGCATAGAAATGCTATTTCCTGCACATAGATAACCAGTGTACTTAGCAGACTGTTTCTAAAGTACTGGGGGAGAGGGAAAGGAGTAAACAAATATTTCGGATCTTATTTATTTCAGTTTAAAAACATTAAACCTGAGCAAAATATTCTCACAATGTCAGTGAACCTGTCATTACCCAAGTCACTAATCCTAGGTAAACTAATGATAAATTTCACAGCACTCATCAAACAGCATGAGAAGCATTAATCTGTGGGGTGGTTTTAATAAATTATAGTTCAACAGCAGAGCTAAAAATGACTAATTAAAAAAGTTGCTTAGAGAAGTACTTATCATAAATGTGAACAAACTGCATAACGGTAACTCGGCCATCTGGTGAAACATGCTGCTAGCAGTCTTCAATCGCCAAACAAAACATCTCCACATGAAGTACTTATACAATTAAATTAACTTGATATTTTTGACCATTTCATGTTTGCATGAAGCCATTCATTTTTCTGTTTAAAATGCAATACTTCTGAAAAGTGGTGGATGAGTCTAAGAAAGTTTAGGTAGACAGTGATATAAGGCATACATACTATTCTTTCTTATCTAGAGACATAGGTACTAGAGTCCTCATTATCTGAATTTAGCCTGTGTTAGAACTTGTAATACATGTTCACAGCCACATGTGCATGTCTCCTGCTCTTTACAAGTCCCTCTCTTCTATATATGGAAAAAGATGGTCAAAGATCCTGCCTCATGCCTGCAAGTAAATGGCCTTTGTTAAGGCTCACAACTAATCAGTATTTCGGATCTTCAGCTCTGAATCGTTACAGTATTCTTGGGGTACCCCATCCCTGAAAAAAACACAGAGACCTTCTGCAGTTATAGCCACAGTGATCCTTCCCAACAGAAGAAAACTGCAGCTTGCACTTGATTTTTTTTTGCATTTCCCATCCAAAATGTTCCTTTCTGTTCCTTTCTCAGTCATTCTGTGGTAATACTCTGATGATACGAAAAGTACATTTAGTCCACTGTTAGAAAGCTAAATATAGTTGCTTACAAATTACAATTAGATATTTTCTTTACTGCTCACTTGGTTTATGAAAGTAAGTTCTATCAAGGATGTTAAAAAAAAATCATGATATTTTGTCTCAGCCAGCAGCCTGACACTTAAAAAACTAGTAAAAGTAAAATACAGGCAACTGTAATTCTTAGAAAGATAGAATAAAAAATAATGTTAAATAAAGCCAAATAAATAAAGCACATGTCAATGCACATCATCATTTATATGACGAAGAAGGAAGTACTCACCATGTATAATCAGAACATACTCTGCGATGCTTATGCCAATAGAATTTTCTGCTTCACATCGATATGTACCATTGTCCGTTTTATTTAGGAAATTAATGACTAGCTCCCTACCATTGACAACCATTCTTTCTGGATCAGGTAACTCTCCACCATCCTTTGTCCATAATACTGGATCTGGCCTATTAAACATAAATCAATAAACCAAATATGATTATTTTAAATAATATTATTATTCTATATATCATTTATATCACACTAAATCTACCTATATGGTTCCTTGTGTAACAATGTGTAAGAATGGACAGAACAAGGTCTATTAACAAGGAGAGGACCATGCATACCGGAGTTTAGGATTATAATCATAGAAAGCTCTGTATGTTTAAAACTACTATCAGTGGTAGGACCCTAAATGGACCATTTGAAAATGGGCTAGTTCCTAAAGTTCCTGCATTCCTGGTGTCTTCCCTTCCATTGATTTCAATGGGAGGAGACAGGGAGAAACAATGCAAGAAAAATCCCTTCAAATTCATCCCTGATTACTTATAGGAGGGCTCTAGCTGTCATGATGGTTGTATGGAAGATCTCCCATTCTGCCCACTTTTTTCTTCAGTATGTTAATAATAGATTATGGTTTTTTTAAAAAAATATATGATATTGGATGAACTTTTGAAATCTGAACACCAACTAGCCTCATGTTTAAGCATGCACATCTAGTTTCACAATCATGTGCTTGTTTAGAGGAAAGTACTGTACGATTGTGGTACCAAAAACAATCATATCACACTGGCATTGAAAGAATATCAGTATATTGGCACATGGTACCATTTTAATGGTTAAAACTAGGATGAAAACAATAATAATTTATAAATAAATAATTTGAGGCTACAGCCCATTTAGTGGAATGCCCAGACAGATTATTACACAGTGGTATACAGTATGGAAAAAGAAAAGCTACAGAAAAGGTGAGTGCCAGGTCTTTGCAACAGTCATGAGGGAAAATGAGAATACATTGGGACAGCATTAGAAATGGAATAAAAATCAGTGAACTGGGACATACTTTGGTGGAATTTGGGAAGAGAACTATAAAGTTTTGCTGATAATAAATTAATCCTCTAATGAAAACTACACGGAGCTGAAAAGTCTGGAAAGGAGAGATTTGAGATGGCTGGTTGAAAAGATTTTTTTAAAAAAATTCTGACATACATGGCAAACTCTGTTGCAGCATGTCTATTTTTATACAGCTGTATTCTGTAGTCTCTGGCTAGATGGCAATATAAATACAAATCTGTTTTTATTAATAAATAGCACAGTGAAAAGTGTAACGAGGATATGTAATACTTTAGGATATGTAATACTTTAGGATATTGCAAAAAACAATAGACGAAATAAGCTGAAACCACAAATATAAACCAAAATATTACTATACTTCTATCCCAATTCAAGTTTTTATGCACATAAATAAAAGTCCAACAATATATAGTTATCATGTGTATGCAAGTGACCACATATTTTCTTCAATTTGCTCAAGAACTTGTGTAATCATGTACACTATTTTTTCTTTGTGTTCTTTCTCTTTTTTGTAGCTTACATCTATAAAATACAAAGCCCAATAGATGGGCTGCATGCAGTTCCCTAAACAAAGCAAAGTCTTCTGCTAGTTAAGTACAGTACAACAATACCAGTAAGCATATGCTTATGCTTCTTGGGATCCAACCAAATATTTTTTTTTCTATTTGATTAAGAAAAATAGATTCAGAATCAAGGATGACTGGTAACAGTCATCTGCACCTTATAAACCATACAGGTTAATATTTCTCAATAACAATCATGAATGGCTTTTTTTAAAAAATCTGTTGAATGCCTATTGACTACAGTAAGATTTATGTGTACGTATATAAAGGACTGTGCTGCAAGAGCAAGCCTTTCAACTTTGTTGTTAATCTTATTTCCCCTGCTCCCCTTCCTCTGAAACATTCCCGATTAGGAGTTTGTTTTAGGCAGTTTCGTGGTGAAAAATGTCCATTCTATGCAGAAGATCCCAGTTTCAACTGCCAGCACCTCCGGGTAGCCCAAGGAAAACTCTTACCTGGAAGCCACTGCCACACAGGTACAGTAGTACTGGACTAGATGAACCAGTGGTCACCTTCATATGCAGTGCCTTTCTATGTTCATCTACCTCCCAATTATAAGTAACTCCACTGAGTTCAGGAGGGCTTCACTCCCATAGCTATTTAGGATGCAATCCTAAGCCCACCACCCTGGGGATCACCCTGATTGAACTCTATAGAACTTCCTTCTGAGTAGAAAGTAGAGTGCACTCTGATAAACAGAAATAGGGACATAGTGCAGTGGAGCTCTGGCTACTCAGTTGTCCATTGGCTCGCTGAGCAGCTTAAAACATGGTGGCATGTTCATGAGTCTAATCTACCATTTTCATTCTATAAGAAGTTTCTGTTGTATTGAAAATGGTTTTATGATTTTTTAAATTGCCTGTTGCAAGCTTTGAGGATGGAAAATGCTTAGCAATTATAAATTGATAAATATCTAGGGCTGCCATTTTGCCATTGTGTAATTACAAAATATCTTCAGAAGTTAAATCATTGCTTTTTACAGAATCACTATCTTTAGATGGTTCATGATAATGCATATAAATATCCTGTGGAAAATTCTTAGTGACTGTACCTTCAAAAAAGGGTAACATGAGAAATTTATATGCTATATAACAGAATTCAGAGAACCTGTCTGCTCAAACATTATTTTTTCTTGAAAATGAGTTTTGCCCTCTCTTGAATAATATACTTTAAAGGGGAGACAGAGAGAATTCTTTGTTGGGAAAGGAAAATAGATTTGCCATAGTAATAAATGCATTCCAAATACAACATAGCACCCTGACTTGCAAAACAACATTTCCTTGGTAAAATAAGTGCTTCTATTCTTCATGTATTATTTTACCTTATCAACTATGGGCTGAGTATGATTATTCAATCCTCTGGCTAACCTCTGATACCAAAGCTAGAAGCTCAAGGGAATTTCTTATGCACCAAACAGATGAGCTTTGAAGCCAATTTTGCACATATAATCAAGCAGAAAACATTTCTCTTCAATCACCCTGTGTGCTTCTGTGAAAATGCTGACTGAACTAATTTCTCTTTAAGGAACAGAAGAAGGGGCATGATAGCCTATAGAAGGATCTCTATTTTCATTTTAAAAAATGAGGAAATATATTGCAAAATTTGTAATTTCTCATGTTTCCATCTCTCACAAATCCATACAGTTAGCACTACTCACATTGGGTACTGATGATTTTGTCAAGATTTTAAGAAAAACAGTTGGTTTTTGAAAAAGGTTGATGTTTTAAAATACAATATTATATCATATGTGCTGAAGGCAATACAGGATACAGAGTATTTTCAAATGTTCTCTACAAATCCTAGTAATATCGTATTGTATGCATCCCCTGTATGTGTGCAGAGGGGCATGGAATGTGGCACACACAATAATTATTCAATCATGTAATTGCGAAACTTCAGCCACATAGCGCAGAATACCTAAACCAATGCCCCTCTACAGTACAAGAGCAGAAAGAGCTATTGATGGGAAAGGAGTATGGACAGGACTAAGTATGATACTCCCTTGTTTGGAAGACTGAAGTGTGATCAGCAGATAATGAAATGCTGGGTTTGGTGTAGAAATTGATGTAGACATCAATTTAAATCAATTGAAGGGTCAAGGGGTAAGAGAAAGAGTTGGAGAGGAGTGAACTACTGCTTCGGCCCAAAGCATTTATCACCCATGACATTTCAGGAGCTTGCTTTAAAGTGCATGGGACAGTCCCCACTCAGGTTGTCAGATATAACCAACATTAGCTAGTTGGTAGTGAGTGGAATCCAAAGAAGCATACAGCTTGCACTGTGTATGCATGGGGCTTTATGTATTATTTGGAACATTTCTATCCCACCCTATACAAACGTCTCAGGATGGCGATCAATATGTTCCCTGGACAGCAGCACTGCACTACTTCTTCCCCAGCTGCATGGCCTTTTGATGCAAAGGCCAATCTCAACAGACTTTGTATCATAGTATGGAAGGTTTCAGTTGTAAGGTAAGCTTCTTGGATCCTAGCACCGCATCATTATTACCGTCATAGGTATTGTTTCTTGGAAAGGGACACCTTGTAAATTTAGCCAACTAATTAAGTGTATGCATAAACTTGCCTCCAGAATTCTTAGAGAAAAGAATCTAAGATTTAAAAATTCTATTGCTGTACTTCACTTTCCCAATTTGAAGGGAATATGTGACAGAATTACCGTATTTTTCACTCTATAAGACGCACTTTTTTCCCCCTCAAAAGTAAGGGGAAATGTCTGTGTGTCTTATAGAGCGCATGTGTGTGTGCCCAATGCCCGGGATGCTGCCGGCCGCCTGCACCACGTGGCACCACCTGGCCGGCACACACTCCGGTGCAGGTGAGAGCTGTGCCACTCAGAGGGAGTGGTGTGGAGGAGGAGGAGCAGCGGGCTTTAACCCGCCGGCCGCATGGAGAGACAAACTGTTCACCCCCACTGCCCAGGAAGACCTGCCGCGGAGGAGGAGGAGCCGCGGGCTTTAACCCGCCGACCACACGGAGAGGCGGACTGCTCACCCCCACCGCCCGGGAAAACCTGCCGCCGCTGCCCGCCACCCGGAAGACCACTGCCGGCATGCTGCTGGCCTGGCTGCACCACACCTGGCCAGCACATGCTCAGCACTCCCTGCTCCGCCCAGCTCCTCTGGCGCAGGTGAGAGCGATTAATCACAGGTCAGTGTGTGTTTTTAAATGGCAACCCATCTTTTAATGAAGCCCATGGGGAAGTGATGGGGAATGTGCCTGTGATTATCAGGAAGCTTTCCATGGATCCCTCTTCTAAAAACTAGGTGCGTCTTATGGTCAGGTGCATCTTATAGAGCGAAAAATATAAAACCTTCCAAAACATTATTATATTATCTGCCTTTGGGAGAATATAGGAAGCAGAAAAGTAGCAAACTTTCTTTAGTTCTCTTTTCCCATCTCCTCTCAGTATCATCAAAAGAAGAGTGGATTCAGAGGGTACTAGAATAAGTGATGCTACACAGTCATACCATATTGCCCAGCACAAACCATCCATCCTGTGAACATCTGGGAACTATGCAGAACTCTTTA